ATTTGGGGCTCCACAAAAGAAGGCATAGGAGGAGGGAAGGGGGTAGAATAGGGAGAAAAGAAAGACAGCGAGCCGTCAAATGCTGGAAGCTGCGGCCATTGCCACACGAGACTATAGATGTAGCCAAACATTGGCTTCCTTTTCCATCAATTCTTCCTTCCTTGTTTTTCCACTTTATTGATGAGAGTTTATTTTTGCATTGTAATTTATTTATTATTCGAGTTTTCATTTCTTTCAATTCTAATTAAAATTACAACTTAAATCAATCATCCAATTATTACTTTTTATTAGTTATATTTTTTTATTTAATTTAGTTCTTCAAACCTTCCGAGACGTGTAATTGAGTAAAACTATTTATGTGAATACTTATTTTATTTTTATTGAATACTATTTAGTTGGATTGAACTTAAACATTTTGATATTTGAATTTGAGTGTTTTTAAGTTAGCTTTTTAATTGAGATTATTTTTTTAGGTAAAATATGTACTTTTAAATATAGCAGCGAGTATATAATATATACCTATAGCATAATTTGATTTGAATTAAAAAAAAATCACCACTTCAAGAAAAAAATGTTTAAGTTTGAGACATTTAAAAAAAATTAAAAGTACTGGTATTTTTTAAAATATATATAATTTTTTTGCTATCCAATATAATTTTCTCTATTTTTTTTTCTTAGGTCTAGGTATTTTTATGACTTTGTTTGGTTTGGACTGTTTTATTTATTGAATTTTGTGTAGTTTATAAGCTATTTATTCATTGGAAATTTTATATTTTGGTTTTGAAAAAAATTCATTTAATATTAAAATTGACTCATTTCACTTACCCACATGGGTAAAAAAAAATTGGGTAAACTCAATTAAAGTTATACTTATACAAGATAAAACATTAACAATTCTGAAGAGTATACAAATAGAAAGAATTCAAGTATACAATTCAAAAGGAAAGAACCACTCAATATACTCAAATTGTTAGCACAAAATAGCTTTAAAATAATATTATTTTATCGAGTTTGGTTTTGAATATGGATAATGTTTAATTTGAACAATAATCTCAATTACAATTTCAAATAAAATAAGATAAAAATAATTAAGCTCAAATTTCAAATGGGCTCTAAATAGTCAAAATGTACAACTCGAGAGTAGCATTAACTATATTAATAATGAAGCTTAAGTGGTAATTAAGTGATTAATTAATTAATTGAACTCCTAATTGCGGCTTCCCCCCTCCACTCTTTTTTTCCCATAATTCTTATTTATTTATTTTATTTTTATCCCATTTTAATACCCTCAACTTTCTCTATCTATAAAACCACCCCCCTTGCTTCTCTATCCTCCCACTTCTCTCTCTTCAAATTTTCTCTCTCTCTCTAACTTTATCTCTCTTCCGCTCTCTCTCCCTCTCTCTCTAAAATCTCTGTTAAATTAAAAATCAAATCGAAGCTGCCGCCGCATCAGGCCAACCGATCGCCGGAAAATGGACGGTAGTAAAGAGAAACGATTCGACGCCGGTAGCTTCCACGGCGGTGAAGACGACGGCGACCTGAGGAGAGGACCGTGGACGGTGGAGGAGGACATAACTCTGATCAATTACATCGCCAATCACGGCGAAGGCCGGTGGAATTCCCTCGCCCGCTGCGCCGGTACCTAACTCATTCCGATTTTCTTTATTTAATCGTTCGCGCATTTCTCGAAGATCGATGTTCATTAATTGGTTAAAAATTTCAGGTCTGAAGCGAACGGGGAAGAGCTGCCGTCTGCGGTGGCTGAATTATCTCCGGCCGGACGTCCGGCGGGGAAACATTACGCTCGAAGAACAGCTCTTGATTCTCGAACTTCATTCCCGATGGGGAAATAGGTAGCTAAATTTCCCTCGTTAATTAAAATTCGCAAAATGTATATATAAATATATAGTTTCACAAAAGTCTTTGAACTTTATTATAAATTTTTGCTTATGAACATATATTTATTTTAGTTTATAGTTTGAAATTTGAAAAGATTGAATTGTGAAATTTTTTTTAGATGGTCGAAAATTGCCCAACAATTGCCGGGACGAACGGATAACGAGATAAAGAACTACTGGAGAACTCGGGTGCAGAAACACGCAAAACAGCTGAAATGCGACGTTAACAGCAAGCAATTCAAGGACACGATGCGATATCTCTGGATGCCGCGCCTCGTCGAACGGATTCAGGCAGCCGCCACGGCCGCCGCGTCCTCCGCCGCGGCGCCGCCGACGATCGTGAATAACAACGGGAACGATTTCGTCGGAACTCCACAAGTGACGCCGAGTTACACGTCGGAGAATTCCAGCACCGGCACCGGCGGCGGCGGAGTCTCCTCCGACGGGACGCAGGTTTCCTCCGTCTCGGATTTGACGGATTGCTACAACAATTTCCGTGTTGGCGATTGTTTTCCGATGGGTTACAGCCAGGAGCCGCCACCGCTGCAGAGCCCGGCCGGCGGATTCTTCAACCAAGGGATGTTAGATTTTCAAGCCATGGAGCAGAGTTCTTCCCAGTGGCTGCCGGACGGCGGCGTCGACATGTCGGAGAGCCTGTGGAACGGCGCCGGCGCCGACGACTTGTGGTTCTTGCAGCAGCAGTTAAATTAACATCTGAAAAAAGGAAAAAAGAGAAAAAAAAGAAAAAAACAGAACAAAGAGGAATAAAAGGGGAAGAGGAACATACACATAATTTGTAGAGCTCAAGATTTCGCCTCTTGGAAGAAGGGGGGGAATTAGAAGAATTAATAGGATTTTACGAAGAACAGGGTCCAATTTTTTGGATTATTCTGTTTTTTTTTTTTAACTGTTTCTTTAGATTTCCAATTATTGGGGTTTGGGGGAAATTTGTAAAATTGAATCTTGAGGGTTCTTTTTTCTGTATCTCATTCTTTGAATTATTGGCTCTTCCGCAAAGGCAAAGGGAATGCTAGCTAGCTAGCTTCTTCCTCCCCCTTTACTTTTTCTTTTAAATATTTAGTTGTTTAACTTTTTTTCTTTTTATGGTTAAATTATAAATTTAGTGTGCATATTGAATTTCAATCGTGTTATATATATATTTAATGTATAATTTGACTTTAAAACTTCAAAAATTATGATTATGTTTCTTTGTTACAAATTCTTACTACATATCTATATGGTTAATTACCATATATTTCCAATCCCATATAAACAAAATGGTAATATAGATAAATAAATGGTGATGTAATATATCTATTAGACGGGCTATGAATAATAAGGAACTATTTTGTGAGAGATTAACACGAAATACTTTGCTAATTAGTATCCTATAAAATAGTAATTCATGTTTATAGTGTGAGTAGGAGGAAAAATGACTCTTCAAAAGCCAATAACTTTCAAACTCACAACCAAGAGAAGTATTCAGTGTGGAATTGAATTGTAATTTTATATAATTTTTAGCACCACAACAAACAAATGAACAATACATGCTAACTAGTGTATAGAGTTCCCATGCTTTTTTTTTTTTGGATTTAATGGATTGATTAAGTTTTTTTTCTCTTTTTTTGAAAACTAATAGATAATTAAGTTAATCTCAAATAATGTCTTAAAATTCCTAAGAAAGTACCTCTTCCTAAAATAAGTATTATTTCATAGAAAGCCAACCTGATAGTTAGGAAAAAATAAAATATCTACGTAAAAAATATTTGTTTTGGAAGTAATATTAAGAGAGACAAATGAAGAATACTTGCTTACATATATGTTAGTAGTAATTAAGAGTTACTATTGATTTTTTAAAGTAACTATACTTGATTACACAGGTCATAATGAGCTTCTATATGAATATATTTTTATTAAATCTCACTAATATTTTAAGTTTTGATCCGCTAAAAATAAAATCACCATAAGAAAGTCACTATGAAATATTGTTTTTTTTTTTTACTTCAACAATTGAGAGGCAAGGATCAAACCATTAATTTTTTTAAAAATGATAATAAAATATCTTATATACTGAGCAGTGTTTAAAATAACCACCTGAAATATAATTTATTTTTAAAGCGGTGAATTGCATCCATTTTATAAATAAAATAAAATTTGTAATTTTACGTTATTTTAAAATTTAAATGTTTTCATAGTGGGAAGTAAATAGTTTTGTGTAAGTAGATAATGTCGAATTAAAATAATGAAAGACGTGCATAATTGGTTCCACTTTTAAATATTTAAATAATAATTTTTTTGGGAGTTTAGAAAACAATAAACTAATTTTATAATTAGGATATTGATGTCCACGGGGATTGAACCAGACCAAAAGTGCCCCCCATTGTTCTAGATTGCCAAAAGGGAGCCGACGTGGCACTCCCTCATTCGTTGATTTTTGGGGTTTAAAATTTAATTAGGACATTATTATGGGGCTAAATTTTTCAAAAGTTAAAACATGTTCTTATCATGTTTAATGAATGCCACCTATGTACTCTGTCCCCCTGTTTTCTTTTTTTTTGCAAATTGCAACCCAAAAGTTGCCCCCATATTACCACTTGTTCACATTGTAGCCTCATAAATTATCAATATTTTCCTACTACCCCCTCAAATTATATTATTTGCTTTACTAGAACTCTAGAAGTTTTTCAAATGTAATAACACTTTTACTTTCCTATACTTGGTGGCAAGTAAACGAGAGAAGGTATGTTCGTGCAATAAATGATGGTCGAGGTGGACCTAGAAGGTAGGCTGACTGGACGAGCTGGATGGACCGCCGTAGAGAGCTGAAAAATTACTTGGCAAAGAAGTACTTGTAAGAGAACAAACACTCCAATATTCAAATCAGTTTTGGAGTTCGACTTTAATATTGAGTGTTCGACCAGAGATTCGACTCGGATTTGAGCATGTTGGGTCGAAGGTTGTCTTGTCGGGCGTTCACGATCTGGGTAGGTTGATTTTTTGTATCTTCCTCTCTAGAATTGGACTAAGTATTGCAGGTCGTTCTTATGAAGAAACGAGCATCTGAGACCAATTTGGTGGTCTGCCCACTCTCTATCCTCTAAGCAGCAATTGACGCCTCCATAAAGATAGATGTGTTAATTTTCTGAGCGAAACATGTTTTTCTTATTGAAGGTATAATTAAGAGTTGTAACGTTTTTACTTTTTCAACAAAGATCATAAATTACATCCTTGTTTTTGGGCCTAATTTTTATTATCTCAGGATGCATATGAAATTTTAATATCAAAATTTTAAATTAATGGAAATAATTTAAACAAACTTAAAACTAAGAATAATAATAATTTTTTTAGTTCAACAACATACGGGATAAGATTTGAATTCTGATATTTTGGTTGAAGATATATAACTTAATTAAGTAATTGAATTATATTTAGATTTCAAAGATTTTATATTGTTTTATAGGACAAAACATATATATATATATATATAACTTATATTGAGATATGCAAGAATAATGTTTACCACATCTTTCAATAAATCATATTAAGCACATGCATGACTTGTTTTATATAACTCAACTTGAAAGTTATATTTAATTTATAGGAATTACTTCTTCAAAATAACACCTATATAAAGAAGAAGAAAACTTTTACCTTTTGTAGTAAGTTGGTTAAATTACCTTTAACTTTTACCTTCATCTAATTTAACCTTAATTCACTTTTGGAAAATGATCAAATTAATATCTCTAAAATTAAATTATGAAATAATTTAACCTAGCCACAAATCAAATAGGTAAAAAAAAAATGCTCAACTAATTTAAGGATGTGTTTGGGAGTGATTTTGGCATGGCAAAATCATCACTTCCATTTCCATTGATCATGTTTAGCAGGTTAAAAAATTGATTTTAGGAAAACATAAAACCACTCAAAATTGATTTTTAAGGTATCACTTGAATAGTGATTTTGAAAAATCAATTATTCTTAAATATTTTTTTTTTTCAAAATTACTCATTCTATAATCACTTCCAAACTCACCCTAAATGCATCCAACATAATTAGAAATTATATAATTTACTTACCATAAGAATCTTTACCACTAGTCATAAATCTACAACGGAGGGGAAAAAAAAAACTTAATGTCATGGAGGGTATAATTTGCATGCCACGTATTTAAATTGTTTTGTGAATGTTAGGTTTAATTTACAAACCGTACAATTAAAAGAGAGAGAGACTTCATTGTAAATTCTTTTTTGCTATCGTGGATATAAGGTTTCAAATGGGATGAAAATGTCGATATCTCAATTTCATGAATATATTGATAAAATGTCGATATTGAAGAATATTTTTGTAAAAGTTTTCGGGAATTAAAAAATTGTAAAAATATATTTAAATTAATAAATAAATATTTTGTTGATATTTTTTCTATTTTGTCGATTTTTTCGTAATCCTAAAAAAATATCGATAAAAATGACGATATTTAATACCATAGTGCCATCTATAGAAAAGTACTGTTGGTACACAATATAAATGGGTATATTTAAGATAAAAGTTATTCTTCTGGGGACAAAAAACAAATAAATCTTATTTTTTATTTTTAAAAAAAGGGAGAAAAAATATTGGGGGGGGTGCACGTGCGGAAGGGAAGGTTCAAACGTGATGAAATGGTAGTAAGGGCGAAAAAGGGGGGCGGGAGATTGGGTATGGCGGCGGGGTTCTTACGTAAGCCACGTGTTCGAAAAGTAACCCCATTGGCAGTGGTCCCGAAAAGTAACCCTGTTCAGAAACTGCCACGTGTAAACAGAATTAGGCTTCCTCAACAGAAGCACTGACAGCCGCAACCCTTGAAACAGCCCCCTCTCCACTCCCTCTCGCCACACTTCTGCACCTACGACAAATTTTATTAATAAAATAATAAACCAACACCCAAAAATACCTTTTCTTTTCTTTTCTTTTTCTCTTTTTAAATAATCTTATTTTAATCCTACTCTTCAATTTTCTATTTCACAATTATCCTTGTTAATTATTTAACCTACATGTAATCTCAAAACTTGATATATATTTGAGCAATTTACGAAAGTTAAAAAAAATGGTTAGATATCTAATATATTTGAACAATGTAATCTTTTGAATTAAATAGTGATTTATTTATCCTTAATATAATATTAGAATGGAAGTCTGGTTAGATATTAGATATTTAATATATGAATTAATTTATCAAACTATCCACTTATCTGTTTTGAATACCTTTAAAATTTTGATTCATGTATACGAGTATTTTATTATGAGGTAAATAAAAATGAAACATGTGCCTATATGATTGATGAAGTTGTATTAAAAATGATTGACAATAAGAAATAAAATAAAAAATCAAAACTTGTTTTTAGAAAATGTTACACGACTAATAAAAAAATTATTATTGTTCTATATACATATAGTTGAGTGAGATACGTGAGGTTTTCAGATATCTACGGCGACAGCTGGACTCCAACTCGAAACGCACACGTGGCAAATAGATTGTCCACACGTGTGTTGTCCGTTGGACTCAATTTCGTAAGGGACCGTCTAAAACTGACTTGTCAGTCTAGAGTTGATGGGGCCCACTGGATTCGAACCCAAACCCTGGTGCTGCCCTGCCCCCGTCCATGCCTTTCTCAACCGCATTATTTGTGGGGCCCAACTCTCCCCATATTTACCAATCTGCCCTTCCCATCTAATTTTTCTCCCTTTGGAGTTAAAAGCCTTCACATTCCCACTTCCACTTGGAGTAAATTTTATATAACAATGATTCATTCTTCTGGTCTAACTTCCCTTTTCATCTTCGAGTTTTTTGAATTAGACACAAAGCTAATTCAAATTATTCTATAAATTTTAATTTTAGCATAGTACGGAACGTATGTTGACACATGTTGAAATTTCAAAGTAGAATTAATATATTGTCTATTTTAAGGATAAATTCTAGTGATTTTGTTTTAGTTTCACCTAAAATATCGTGAAAGTATTGCTCCTCACATCTAATTTTATGATCTTCTCGTCCCTCTAGTCAATGTTTGCAAATGTGAAATATTGTTTGAACTATTTGCAAACCTAAGACTCTTTTAAGAGTATTTAGTTGCCTAGATCATTTTAAATAAAC